GACCTCCCCCTGCCCGTGCTCTGCCCCTGCTGCACGGAGGCGGGTGATTTTATTTGCCTTTCCCCCGCTCCAAAGCAGCAGCTGATAAGCTCTGCTGTTTCTAAAGCAGAGGATAAAGGCAGAAGGATGGTAATTTAACTCCTTAATTGCTCGTTAGATGAAAAGCGCTTGGCCCGGGATGTACAGCCGCATATCTGGACGCGAGTCCTCGCCTGGGCAAGAAAATGGGGTTCCGAGGTGGGGAAAAGGCTGGTGGAGAACGAAAGGGACAGTACAGCCTGTGCCATGCAATCACGGTGGGGTTTTAAGCAGAGGCTTTGATGGAAATAAGGCGGCGGAGCTCAGCGTGGCTCTGCCCCGGGTTTGGCGTACCGCCACGAGCAAATCGCTACGTGTGGCAGGTCTCGTCGCCATTACCCTGGAACGAACTTCTGTGTGTTCTGCACCCGCACGGCATAAAGCGAACGGATGTTATTGCTCCTGAGGAGTTGGGAGACACGGATGTCTTGCTCCGTTCCCTCTCGTCCCGTGTCCGCCCAGATAAATGCCATGAGGTCAGGAGGATTCACGAGCAGTAAAAGTAGGAGGCAGGGAAGGATTTGCACCCCCCAGGACTTAATTTGCGCTCCCTGAGACGTGTAGTTTAGGGTCTGAATCGTGAGATGCATCTGCACTGGAAACAAGTGGAGCTCCTCAAGTGGAGGTACAGCTGAAGGTGTGCTGCTGGTCAGGGGGAACGGGTATGTAACGTGTTTTGATGCACTGAAACCCTTTGGCTTCTGAGCCTGCTCCCAGGGAGGACCAGACCCCAGTGAGGTGGACACACCAAAGCTGACGAGGCTCCGAGAAGCTGCAGGACAGAGACCTCGGTCTCTCTGCTCCGTGGTGCTGCCGGGAGGGACGGTGGCATCACCGGCGCTTCCCCACGGACCCTCTCCGTGCCATTCGTGCTGACCTGCAAGGGTCACCCTGCTTCCATGCATAATGCACGGCCCGGCCTGCACGAAACCTGCCACAAAGAGCTGCGGCTCCCGTTGCATGATTTTAAATTAACTATTAATAGGGCCGATACCATAACCCCTCAAAAACAATGGCACGCAACAAGACAGCAACGCAGGTTGTGTATCGTGTTTCTTACCGTGGCCTTTATGGGTCTCATGTAACTGGTGGCAGCGTGGGGCACCTCCTGAGGGTCTGGTGGAGATGATCTGTACAGGGAAATGGAGAGGCGGCCAAGCAGGTGGGCTGCATTTAGCTCTCGGTTAAGCTGATACACGTGCAGCGAGGCTGGTAGTGGCATCCCTGAAACCAGGGACAAAGCTCCTGCACGTGCTGGGACTGGGCACAACGGGCTTGTTGGCGTGGAGTCATGGCCAAGGTGATGAAAGCTGCTGGTCCCTTCTTTAAAAAAAACCCAACAGACTGAAGGTCAATGGTCTCCTGGGGTACATTAAAAAGAACATGGCCAGCAGGTGGAGGGAGGTCATCTTCCCGCTCTGCTCTGCCATGGGGAGGCCACATCTGGAGCACTGTGTCCAGTTCGGGGCTCCCCGGGTCAAGAAGGACAGGGAACTGCTGGAGAGGGTCCAGCAAAGGGCTACGGAGATGGTCAGGGGACTGGAGCATCTCTCTGCTGAGGAAAGGCTGAGAGCCCTGGGGCTGTTCAGTCTGGAGAAGAGAAGGCTGAGAGGGGAGCTCATCAATGCTTATCAATATCTAAAGGGTGGGCGGCAAGAGGATGGGGCCAGACTCTTTTCGGTGGTGCCCAGTGACAGGACATGGGCAACGGGCACAAACTGGAACATGGGAAATTCTGTCTGAACACAAGGAACAACTTCTTTATTGTGAGGGTGGTGGAGCACTGGCA